TGCGATAAAGATCCATTTCTCAAGATCAGATTTAGCTCACCTTTGCTTAAGCTTCCTTCTTTCTATTAGATCCTGCAATACCATCAAAATATGATTATCATATTGTGTATTAAGAGTCTATGACTAGGAGCTAAGGATGGAGTTAGATAATGGATGTACCTTAAGTACAGTCACACGAATTAACTTTACCATCTTCAAGATTCTTTAGGTATTTTGGGCAACTCACTTCCAATGTCCCTTCAGTTGACAGTAGAAACAAACGGACTCATTAGGGTCAACATTGGGAATAATATTAGAACCAACCTTTATCTTTACCATATGATCATAGAGTTTAACCTCGATCGATCCCTTTTGTTTGGGAAGAGAAAACTTTCCTTGATCACAAATTTTACTATTGTCATTGTCCATGGAAACCTTAGGATTATACCTTATAAGAATTTCTGCTTCAAAAACTATCAATATCGTGGTCAGATCAGTTAGGGTTACATCGAGATTTATCATATGAAAGTTATAAATATATTACAATCGTAAATTTCCGGTCAATTCAAAGTCAAATAATGTCAGCAAGTCAAACTGGTTAACTCCAATAAGCCCTTGTATATTAGGGTTTACATCGTGTTTACTATTGTACAACACACTATCTTTATATAAAGTATCACTTTGAGTCTTTACATGTTCAGAAAATCCAAGCCCTAATCAGGGTAAGTGATGGAACTACTCGATAAAACATTATTACATACCCTTCGGGGGAATATAACATTCATAACAAGGCTTAACGGGGTTTACAAACCTTTCGTTGCGAAGCTAAACATCAAAAAAGGTTACAAACGAAGTCTCTCACAATCTCTCTTTATCAATCTCTCTCTCTATCTCTCTCTCTCTATCTCTCTCTCATAACCTTCCTCAAATTTTTAAAATCATTTGGGGGCATCCCGACCCTTAACTTAGTCAATAATCACGCAAAACGGGAAGTTTATTGGAGAAACAGCTCTGTAGGACCGAAACCTATTAGAAGCGAAACCCAAAGAAGCCTCCTAGACCAAACCTACTTGGACTGAAACACCTAAGAGTAGAAGCCGAAGTACCGAAGAATCAAAGTCTAAAGAACTGAAACTCGCATTAAACTAAAACTGTAGAACCGAAACCGAAGTTCGGACCGAACCCGCCTTCGCCTTCGCTTCCGTTCGATTCTCGCATGCGAAACTTCCCGGATTAGCCACTTTCAGTTCCTAGACCATGGACCAAAATCCACCTTAGATTCTAGACTTCCCAGGGGCCGAACCTTCAGCCCTAAATCTTGATTTTCTCAATTTCGCATCTTTTACCCGGTTTTCGACCACTTTCGCGTTTTAAGTCTGTTTTTTATGATTTTAACGTGGGATTTTCACCCAAATTCGTATTTTGTCATATGAAACCCTATATATTCATATTTTAATCATTTTTGAGGGAAAATCTTAGTCTATGAATAAAAGCTATTAGATAAGATTTTGAGGTAGAGTGTTGACTTTTCCATAAATCTATGACACAAGCAACCTCCCATACCCACTCCATATCACTATTCATGCTTTATGTCACCAATCCCATCATCCCTAGCCTCTTCCTTGTCCCCTCACACTCTTTTTTAGCAAGTTATCTTGATCAAAGATCTGGGAAAATCCTTATCACTCCTCCCACCTTACTCACTCTTCACCAAAACCTGAACTGTTTAATACGTAGATAGTTCAGGTCTATAACTTTAAAATGACTACTTCCACATGTCCATACGATTTTTCTACAATATACGGTGATTTTTACAAAACTGTCTATCACTGTACACGAATTCGGACTAGTCTGTGAATATCGACATTTTCACACAAGTTAAAGACATCTAAAAATTATAATAAAATTTATCAACAAAGTAGACATTTTTCTAAACTTTCATAGTTTACGGAATCAATTTTCTACTTCGTATGTTTTTTTTTTGTGATTTTTCTAAGATAGTGTAGAAATGGTAAAAACGAATTAACAGTTTACAACTTTCATAACACTTTGTAACATGCTGAGCAAAGTGTTAATCCTTGATGACTCAATATTTTTCATTTGTTTTCTGTTGTGATATATTTATATAACATAAAATATTCATTAATTTGTAAGATTTCTTTATCATTTCAAATAATACAAGATAAGTCATGATATACATAGATATGTTTTTGTTATACATTCAAATTACACAGAAAAGGTTACATTTACATTACAGAGATTTTGGATAAACTATAATAGGTATATTTTATGTTTCATATACTTTACAAACAATCTTGATGAACTATAGTAAGTATAGTTTATGTTTCATACATTACAAACAATTATGTTAAACTATAATAGGTATAGTTTATGTTTCATTTACATTTCGAACTCATTATAAAAGGTTTTCAGTTTGTATAAATGAGGTACGGATACAAAGTATCGGGTTTATACAAAAAGGGGTTTTCGGTTCACTTTACGTATAAGGTTTTTAGTTTGTATAGTTTATGTTTCATTTACATTTCGAGCTGTTAATGAATAAATTTGTGAGACATTCGCTTCACGTTACTTCCAAAGTAACAAAATCAAAAGTCCTGTAAAGTGTACCAAGAGTCTTTTGTAGGGAGAGCATGATAGTTGTGTATAGATCTATATTGGGACTAACAAACCTACACCTGAGCTGCATGCAGCAGCTAGAACGGCAGGTCTGGGGTGATAAATGTCATTTAACTTCGCGACGCCTGAAGAACATCGTATTAATAGGCCGACTAAGTCATAGCATGGTTATAATAAGTCACATGGAGTATTAACAAAACATAAGATTTACGGGTTTTACTTTCAATTAAACAAGTTTATGTCGATTTAAACTTGCTAAAATTACTTTAAGTATGGAAAATACTTGCACATTTCGGTGTCGACTCTTAAGACTACAATGCATTTAAAAAGGGAAATATTGGATTTTTTGCAACAAACATTTCTTTTACAAGAAAAGGATTTCAAACACTACATACAAAAGCCTATGAATTCACCAACTTAATTGTTGACACTTTTTCGAAACTACTTGTATTCTCAGGAAGTCAGTGAACCAGATAAACAATAGATTTTGAGGATGGGACACTCAGACGCCAAACATTTCATATTGTCATCATAATGTAATTGATTTTGAAATATGTGAACATATACTACGTTGTAACTTTTTCAATTATATTTATGATGGTTGTATTTACTTTGAGCACTATTATACTCGTTGTTATGAAACTACAAATGAAGTCCTCCACCCCAGGATGTTTCCGCCATCATTTGTTTGGGGGGGTGACAAAATATGATATAGGAAGCGAGATAAGAACCAACTCAGTGGGTTTCTCCTTTGGGAATATGGCACCCGTTCTTCCTAATTTTCCAATGTACGATTTCATTTTCAGAACATGCGCACACAAAGAATTTCCATCTTTATGTTTACATGCCAATAAGGATTGAGTAGTTTCATATCTTTCAAATTAAGGAAAACATGATGTTGGGAGATTCATAGGAGGATGAGGTGAAAAAGTTGAAGGAGAACAATGTCCAATTCCACCATTACACAAAGAAGGGGACACATTTTCACCTTGATCAGAATGGGAAGACCTGAAGGTTTGTATCGATCAGATACACTTCAAGTATAAATATGAAAGTAAAACTTAATATAAGAAAATAAAGAATAAAAAGTAAATGACACAGAGAGTTATCCAAAATTTTCTTTCACCAAGAAAGAGTTTTGTCTTCACCAAGAAGACGGGTTGTCACAAAGACGATTGACACAAAGCCAAACTCTCTCTACATTAGGGTTTACCCTAATATAGATTATATACTAATCTATACATATGAATCCCATGATTTTAGGGATTGTATCTTATCTATACTAGGAAACGATATTAATAACAAAGATATCGGATATGTTATATATTCTATACTTATCTATGTGATTGCTTAATATACAAAAGATTACAATAGAATAACTATACTATGTGCTGCCGCTAATAAGCTTGATATGATGGCACTGGTAGTTTACAATATGCTGACGCTGATAGATAGTGTAGAGTGTGTGACTCATCAGATCAAAAGATGTGACCTTACAATCTCCGTATATCGGATGATGTCAAAACTAATATTATTTAGTGTCATCAGAAGAACCATTGTAAAACTTGTTAGCTTCTTTTAACACCTTAGGCTTGACCCATCTGGATTGATCAATTTTAAGTTCACCGAGTCTTTTACTAAGCTCCAAAGTTATCATCAAGCGATATCCACTTTACAGTTTATAGTGACCAAGTGCTTCCATGTGAAGATGAAACAAATGTTCAATGGGAGCAGAAGGAAAATCATTAGTGCGTTGAATGGACATTTGACTCTGATTGTCAAGATAAAATATACCATGCTTTTGTTCAACACCAGCTGGTGATTCATTGTTGGTATAACAAGTTCCATCATGAAGAAGAAACTTGGGATTCATGGACTTTATGGGAGCACCTGTTATTCTTGAGGATGACGGTCTAGATGGACTAGCTGATGGTACAAGGTTCAACTTCTAGACTTTGTTGAGAAGCTGCTGAATTTCCAACTTCACTTCCTGAGCATGAATACCCTTGTGTTTGTCAATGATTTCTTGAATTTACATCCACTCGCTGTAGCAAAATTTGACTAGCTCATTAGCAAAAACAACCTCAGTGTGTTCATATTTTTTATTCTTTATAACCAAGTGAAGCTTCATGGACTGATTTCTTGGTTTAGTGCATCTCACTTTGATAATAGGACTACAATTTGATCTATGAGTAAGAATGTCTATAAAGTTCTTCTTATCGATCTAGTCATCCAGGTTTGAAACTATGTGTTGTTTCCCCACAATATTATTGAAGATTTTCTTGACCTAATTATAAGTGATTCTAACATTAGCACTCTCATTAGTGGAAAAAATAGCTTGAACAAGTTTCGTAGATAGACTTTTTTTTTTCTTGTTTCTTTTGTCAAATAGCAACATTATATTCTAACATGATTTCTCTAACGCCCTTAATAGGTAACCTCCATGTTTCTGCTAATTCATTTAGATCAAAGATGAGCTTGCTTTGCTTTTTAGGAGGAGGTATTAAAGAATCACCAGCAGCAGCAGAAGCAGCATAAGGGCTTCCAACTTCAGTGTCATGAGCTCCCCCTGAAAAGGAAGCCTTCCTATTTCGAGGATTAAGCTGATTACCATCAGAGTCAATGATATTATTAGTTCATTGTGGAAACTCTTCAGAAATCTCCCCTAAAAGTAAGAATTAGGGTAGACAACATTTAAAAGAATAGTAGGAACAACATATTGTGGCCTGAAACAAAGATCAAGAAACCCTTCAAAGTCATCGTTCTCTGATTGGTCACTAGTTTCTGGTATGAGCTGATCAGTTGTTGTATCAGCATCTGGAATATTAACAACAACAATCTGCTTTTGAGGATCAAATTCAACTTCAACCTTTCTAGTCATCCCATTTTTTGGCAGCATCAGATTGGGGAGGAGATCCAGGAGGTGGTAAAGAATTTATTGGAGGAGGATGAGATAGTGGAGGAAGATTTGTTGATGGAGGTGGAAATGGAGGAGGATTATCACCTGGAGAGTTTGCTGGAGTGTCATCAACAACCATATCATCATTATCATCATCATTACCCAAAGCCATAGGCCACTTCATTGTAGCCACATCCCTTTCAACTTTACTCAACCTCTTTCCTAGAGATTGAGAAATCTACACAATTAGAGAAAGCTGGGAAAGCATAATAGTCTGAAATTTTGTGTTAGATTCTTCTTGATTTTCCAGATACATGTTAGCAGTCATGATAGGAGTTGGCATAGAAGGAACAATACTAGATTGAGGAAAAGGAGGCTCTGACTTGTTTTGGATCATTGGTTCAGCAGTTTCCACAAAAGGAGGGGTTTATCCATGTTGTACAACATCATCTATAGATGGAGTGGATAAGGAAACAGATGAAAATTAAATGTGCCTTTTTATCCGAAGAGGAGATTTCATTCCCCGAAAAGAGTCTTCTCCATTATCAGTGGCTGGTTCATTTTCATCTTTATCAGTGTCTTCTTCGTCATTACCTCCTTTTTTTATCCGAAGAGGAGATTAATATATATATATATATATATATATATATATATAGATATATATATATATATATATGTGTGTGTGTGTGTGTATGTATAACTAAAATGCTAGTCTTACCGTTAGTAGGCCTCATTCACGAAGTCGATATATAAGGGGGTATAAAGTTATGGCCTATAAAATGGTCGTTTAATAGGTATCCACTCTTACCCATCGCTTCCTTGATTGGTGGAGGGTCGTTAGTCGAACGGGTAGGATAGGGCAATCCTCTCTTCTCTAATAAGTATAATGAATCTATATAAAGTAACTAAACATTTTTCCAAAATTCCCAATCCTAGTTACTTTAGTCAAAAGTGAATTGATGCAATCCCATGAAATTACACTTTGGACCCTTGCTAAGAAGTTAGTGGAGCGTGTGTGGTTAACCGGCACACTAATTGGTTTTAAGTAAAGGTGGAAATGGCTGACTCATTGTTTGTCATAGTTCGATGGAGCGTGTGTGGTTAACCGGCACATCGAATAGATGACTGTAACAATGAGGGAACCATGTACATTTGCATGGTTATTCATACCGACTTTGTGATCCTCAGCATCCCAGTCACAAACGAGAGGAGCATATCGAGATTTAAACATATCATTGAAAAGTTCAATGAATCTCAAAAGAATCTAGGAATTCTCAATACATTTAAAACTTAAGCCTTTTATGTTTTTCATGGTGAAGAATTAGTGAATCGTCATTCACTAACCTCCAAATTATTTGCATGTTGGATTACGTCATCCCTTTTCTAATGTGTAAATAATTTTGTTGGATCCTAGCCCTAATTTCTCATTTTGGGTGTTTAATTAGGGATTCAATTCTAATTAAGATTTGTTCCTTTCCATTTGCAGATGTCTAACACAAACGCCAACAACACTACTGCTGGTTCATTCTCGCTAATGAGCCTATGTCAAAAAGTGACATTTGACGGATCGAATTTCAACAAATGGATAAGATACATTCGTATGATTGATCGTTATGAGGACAGAGAATATGTCCTCGACGAGAAGCTTGAAAAGATCAAACCGGAAATCGGTACTCCCAAAGAAATGGCCGTCTTTGAGGCCCATGAGCATGATGCAACAAAAGTTCATTGCATTATGTTGGCCATTATGAATCTTGAACTCCAAAAGTCCTATGAGGACATGTATCCCTATGAAATGCACCAAGATTTTCTGGAGAGGTACCACCAAAGCGCAAGGCAAGAGCGCTATGAGATCATCATCAACATGATCACCGCTAAGATGGGGAGTGGAAAGTCCCTAACCTCGCGTTTGCAAAAGATGCAAAGGTATGTTGATGGTCTTCGCAAGTTAAATGTTAACTTTGGGGAAGATTTGGCTATCGACATAATTCTCCACTCCCCGCCCTCGTGCTACAACCAATTTAGGATGACCTACCACATGAACAAAGAGGTGGTCACCTTAAGCAAACTCCAAGGGCTCCTAAGGACTGCTGAGAGCAACCTCAAGGACAAGTCTATTGCATCAACTCCTATTCCACCCATTACTCATGTTTTGGCCATTGGGCAAGGGAAGGGCAAGAAGAGGAAGGCTCATTCAAAGAGCCACCACAAGGGAAAGCTCCAAGATGGTATCTATTCTAAAAACCAAAGTTGGTTCTGCTAAGTCCAACTCAAACCCAGAGGAGGAAGAGTACCACCACTGCCACAAAATAGGGCACTGGAAGAGAAGCTGCCTGGAATATCTGCAAGCCATAAAGGATGGGAAGATTAAGCCATCTTTCGCAAGTATTTACACAAGTAAATCTAATGATTCATCACATGCTATTTATTGGGTTCTTGATACATGATGTGGTTTTCACATATGTTCTGATTTGCAGGGACTAAGAAGAGATAGGGATGTGAAGCGTGGAAGAATAAATTTAGTCATGTGGAACAGAAGACCGTAGCATGTCACCAAGATTGTAGTGTATTCTTTAGCACTTAGTAATGGATTAGGTTTAGATTTAAATAATTTTTTGTATTCGCCAGATCATTTCATTTCATGGTTTGTTTAGACAAGGATTTAGATATTCGTTTGATAATGAGAAAGGTTCGATTATGCTTATCTAAATGGTGTTTTATATTTTGAAGCATTTCCTTGTAATGGAATTTATGAAACTGTTATGGTTGTAGATAAACTAGGAAATGATGTATTGTGTGTGGATTCTTCCAATATTATGGATAAATCATGCTTGTGGCATTTTCGTCGTGGACATGTTAACAAGAAACGCATAGCCAAACTCTAAAAGGATGGAGTGTTGGAGTCGTTCGACCTTAGGGACGATGACATATGTGAGTGTTCTTTACTTGGAAAGATGACCAAGTCACCCTTCACTGGCACTTGTGAAAGAGGTGAGGGTTTATTGGATCTCATACACACCGATGTGTGTGGGACCTTTAGATCCACCACAAGGGATGAAAACCGCTTCTATGTGACTTTCACCGATTATTATAGTAGATATGGGTATATTTACTTAATCAAGCACAAGTCAGAAACCTTTGAAAAGTTCAAAGAGTTTAAACAAGAAGTGGAGAATCAATTGGGTAGGAAAATGAATATGCTTCGATCCGATCGAGGAGGAGAGTACCTAAGTCTTGAATTCCATGACTATCTCAAGGAATGCGGAATAGTTTCGCAATTGACACCGCAGTTGAATGGTGTGGATGAGAGGCGTAATCGAACCCTGTTGGACATGGTTCATTCCATGATGGGTCGTGCTTCACTACCTATCTCATTCTCGGGGTATGCCTTAGAGACTTCCGCCCATATCCCTAACTTAATCCCTACAAAGAAGGTTGCCAAAACACCTCACGAGATGTGGATAGGAAAAGCTCCCTCGTTGGAACATATCAAGGTTTGGGGTTGCGAGGCATTCATAAGACGAGAGACTCACGAAAAGCTCGAACCTCGTAGTGAGCAATGTATTTTCATTGGCTACCCGCAAAAATCCCTTGGATATCTCTTCTATAGACCGAGTGACAATGTTGTCTTCATTGCAAGGAGAGGGGTTTTCCGAGAGGGAGAACTCATAAGCCAAGGGGATAGTGGGAGGCAAATCGACCTTGAAGAGATTCAAGAGTCGAGAGATGAAGGAACCACTAACGCTGGCACTTAACCCGAGGAGGAAACTCCGGTTGAACCAATTGACGAATCCTTACCTCTTAAACGTTCCGAAAGACTTAGAGTTCAACCCTAGTTATATGGTTTTCATATTACTACAGAAGGGGACACGTATATTAGTGATAGTACACTAATAAATCTAGATGAACCTGACAGCTATAAGGAAGCCATGGCAGGCCTGAAGTCTGCAAAATGGAAAGAGGCGATGGACAACAAGATTCAGTCCATGTACGACAACCATGTTTGGAATTTGGTTGACCATGTACCCAGATGTAAGACAGTTTTGTGCAAGTGGATCTTCAAGAAGAAGACTAACATGGATGGGAATGTGCACACGTATAAGGCGCGATTGGTTGCGAAGGGATTTACTTAAACTCCCGGAGTTGACTATGATGAGACCTTCTCACCAGTTGCTAAAATAAAGTCTGTTAGGTTGATGCTAGCCATTGTTGTAGTTCATGATTATGAAATATGGAAAATGGATGTCAAAACCGCTTTCCTTAATGGTAAGTTGGCTGAGGATGTTTATATGGCTCAGCGATATGGTTTTGTCAATGCGAAGCATCCCAATAGAGTGTGCAAGCTTGAGAAGTCCATTTATGGAATTAAGCAAGCGTCTCGTAGATGAAATCTTTGCTTCGATGAGAAAGTCAAAGGGTTTGGATTTGTACGAAGCGAAGATGAATCATGTGTGTATGTCAAAGCCAATGGGAGTATAGTTAGCTTCCTCGTATTATATGTCGATGACATACTACTCATAGGAAACGACATCCCGACACTGCAGGAAGTTGAGTCCTGGCTCGGGAAGTGCTTCGATATGAAGGACCTTCGAGAGGCTTCCTATATTTTGGGAATAAGGATAGTGAGAGACCATAGTAAGAGACTAATAGGACTTAGTCAGAATACTTACTTGGACAAGGTGCTAAAACGTTTTAGTATGGAAAATTCGAAGAAGGGAGAATTATCGATCCAAAGTAATGCCAAGTTGAGTAAGACTCAAAGTCCGAGTACCGAAGCCGAGATAGCAGAGATGAGCTGAGTACCTTATGGATTCGCAGTTGGCTCGATCATGTATGCTATGACTTGTACTCGCCCTGATGTCGCCTTCGCTTTGAGCATGGTCAGTAGATATCAAGGGAACCCTGGCAGAGCACATTGGACCGCAGTCAAGAATGTCCTTAAGTACCTTCGGAGGACCAAGGAATGGTTTTTAGTCTTCGCAGGGAGTGATGAATTAAAG